TAAAAATATACTTTCGCAATTAGCGAAAGATTCGAACCTAACCTAAACTTAACCTAACCTGTATCAAACCTGAAACGAGCGACATCTACTATTACTTTCCGTTACTATCCTTCAAATAATCCACTTTACGAACAAATTTTCATAAACAATTAATAATTAATGATTATTTTTCGTAAATAATTCGCGATATTCGAAATCAATAATAGGAAAAATCAATTATTATTGAATTATTTAAACAAAATATGAATATTTCGAATTTATCTCGCATTTCATATTAAAGGAACAAGCTTCAATGAATAGACTCCTTTGATCATCTTATATTATACTATGCAAAATCCAATTATGATGTTTTAATTCTCAGTGATCGTATAACTCGATCGAAACGTACCAAAGGTAAACGGGAAAGCAGAGGAATCGGAAAAGTAAATTCCGAGTTCCGTTTGGTGCCGTATTTTATTTATTTCATTCCGCTAAAATCACGAGGCAGTTGTTGATGATCGTAGCTCTGAATATTACATGAAAGAGCGGTGTCTGAAGTGCTGGAAAGACTCTCCGAGGAGTCATGCGAGCTAACTTGGCTTCACCGTTCGGGATGGGGAATTTTGTAGCAAATGGAAGCCGGAGGTATATTTGTTCAAAAGATGCATGTCGAAAGAGAGGCATTAAATAACGCAAAGATCTAGAGAAAATGGCAAAAGCAATGGGAAGTCTGAGAAACGTAGGAACTTCTCGACAGATATACTAAAAAGCGAATATGTTATACAATAAAAATTTTTTAAATAATATTTATTACCCTATTTTCCTGAGAATAAAAAATTAATTATAAAATGGGCATTTAAAATTTTCTAAATGAAACGAAATATAAATGATAAATTTTATTTTAAACGATAAAAGTTTTAGAAATAATATTTATTACTCTATTTTCCCGAGAACAATAAAAATTAATTATAAAATGACCATTTAAAATTGTGTAAATGAAATGAAATATAAATGAAAAATTTTATTTTAAACGACACAATAAAATTTGTTACCCTATTTTCCTAAGAATAATAAAAATTAATTACAACATGACCCTTTTAAAATTTTCTAAATGGAAGCAGAGTATATTTTTTTTATTTTTTCAACGAGCAGCAAAAATTGTGCGATTTTATAATTATGAAATATAAATTTTTTGGTACGCTCGTTTATCTCTGCTTTTTATTTTTTATTTTATTTCAGACGATTACATGCATGATTGCCATAAACTGAAGTATGCAACAGAATTTTTTGACGAATTTTAAAATTTATTATCGTACGAATTTTTTCCGGACAGCTGTTCATGACATATTTTAATTTTCTATTACTCGCAGTTTGTTTCCTCTTAATGCTCGTGTCTTTGGTAATTCAACGGAATCTTTAACTATTTTAATTATGTTAACGAGTTCACGTGTTGTTCATAATCTCATTTGCGTCGCTGTAAAACTACATGTAGACGGCGGTACACTGTACAACACCGTGCTATATTCAAATTCATAGAGGATGCTTCTGTTTCGAAACAGAACAGTGTACGTTGTTATAGGAGAAACCGTGTTCAGATAATAGTGCGTTTGTATGGTGGGGATAAAATCGTATTAGGACAATGGAAGTACGGATAATAGAGTTTCCAAAGCACTTGGAAAAAGTTGTACCGTAAACGAAAATCAATTTTCTGCGAAGCTAGAAACTTCGAGGCTGCTTAGAAATATATAATATTTCCCGATCTGCGAAGGAAATTTCGAAAGTTGACAAAGAGAAAGAATAAAATTTCAATATCTTAAAAATTCTTAAGTGGAAGCTTCCAATTAAAAAATTGGCAAATTTGAATATTAAAAATCTCTACAATTAAAAATGCAGAATTAGAGAATTTAAAAACTCCCAATTAAAATTGATTTTCTCCGTATTTGAATTATTTCGTACTTCTAATTCAATTATTATTACGGTAATTTATATTGATGATTATAGTCTGTACTATCAACTATACAATAATAAATTAAATGATAATCGAAGAGCCTCGATGCAGAGAGCACGACGTTTCAAAGTGGGAAATCAAATAATGAGTGACTTCGCTATAGTAAAAGAAGGAAAGAATATATATTTTAATACGAAAATTAAAATAATTTTTGTATAAGGCACCAAACTCACATTTCGCCATGTTCTTTTCTTTCTCACAACAAGGTGCCATTATTAAATTCTTATTATTTAGGACTTGCACCAAATGCCAACTCACGCACATACCGACTGCTAAATAAAATATACGCGATAACTTTGAAAATTTACAAAAGATAGAAGATATCTTAATATTATTACTAAATCATTGCTGACTTACATGTAATCTATAATTAACGTATAATTAATTAACAAATAATTTATAAATAATTTACAACTAGCTTATATCTAATATTTCAACTTTGGTGCGTAGCTCTTAGCTTGGTATCGTTTCCCAAGAATTATTCTTTAGAAAACGATACCAATTACCAGGTCTCACCACGTGGAGGTGACTACGCATCGAGACCCGACATGCGCCCTAGTGGCGCAGCCTGCTGGCGCTATTCGTATCAAAGGTAGCCTAACCTAAATTGAAGCGAAAGAAGTTAAAGTGAAAATCTACTGACACTTTATTAAATTTCGTGTCTTACAAAGGGGAACGAGTTCGCGATTAATCGAAAGACCGACTAGCCTAGGGGATGTACTTCCATGTACAGAGATAACTTCATACCTCGGCACCCTCCCGATCGGGCCTAGCTCAATTCCAGTCACTGTCGCACTCGCCAAGACTTACACGTGGACCAAGGATAGTCCCTGAACCAATGAAACTTCTAGTGTCAACGCGAGGGCCCTGCTGGGCGGTTGCCGGCCAAGACAGACACTTCGCATCCCAGCCACACGGGGTAGAACTTAATCATCCCTGTGGTCTAACCGTAGATGGTACTAGTCCGTCAGCCAGCATGTGCCCGAGCCCAAGTCGCGTACGACTTAGGCAGCGGACCGCCCCGTCGAGGTCAGAAGACGCACTGATTCGAGGGGGTCACCCTGGAACCCGATGCATGACGAGATTGACAGTGACTGGAAATGAGTGTCGGAGACGAGTCGTGAGGATGACTTATGAAGCAT